CTCAGAGCTGGAGACTGCATGGAGAGCCAGGCCGGAATGCTGATGCCACTCGGGGTCGCCGGGCCCCGGGCTTGCCTGGACGGGCTTAGCGGACTGCAAGTGGCCGGAAACTGGACAAATCAACGCAGATCATTGGAGCCAAGGAGCAGAGCAGAGAATGACTGGGGTGGGGGCGAGGTCGGGCATGTTGACTCATCCCATCAAGAGAAGGCAGAGAAAATGGGGCAGAAAAATATTTGAAGAAATAGAGGCCAAAACATGCCCAACTCTATGAAACACATGCCTGAGGGCAGGACAGGCGCACCACGCTCGGGGACATCGCCGTCTGAGGCTCACCCGCGGTTTGCAGACTGGGTGAAGGGACATGGAGAAGAGGGCACTTTACCAGCAGAGGCCAGGCGTGGAGGCACACCTCCCAAACAACTCGGAATTGCAGGAAATAAAGCTAAGTTTACGGAGATTGAAGTGCAGAGAGTTTGTCCCTTGCACATATGCAGTCCAAGAAGTAAATGTTAGCATGGCCCTCAGGCTGAGGGACGTCGTGGGTGATGCCCACGCAGGTCCGCAGGGAGCTCAGGGGGGCTGGGAAACTGGGAGAGCATGGCTCAGTGCAGCTGGTCGGCGTCCTCCGGGGACCTCGGGTCTTCGCTTCTCCTCCACGTGTGTCTTGTCTGTCAGTACGGACTTGGGCAGCCCTCCTTCCTTCCATAAATTATCACATATTGCGGTCTTTTATCTTGATACGCAAACCTGTGCAGATTTGTCCAGTGGGGGCTCCTCAGGATGGCCCCTGAGGCTTTTTGACACGTTCCCTGATTCCTCAAACACACGTTTACTCTCTGGGACCAGAATCAACCCAAGTTCCTCTTGTGCTTCCTGTGATTCAACCTTGGAAGAGTCTCTCCAAGGAGCCTGGTTCCTTTCTGTAGAGAACAGTACTGAGGAACCAAGGTCTGAGGGCCAGGTGCACTCAGCTTTGCTTCTCACTGGGAGAGAACGGTGTTGAACCTTCTCAGCGGAGAGATCCCCCCTTTCCCATGCCTTCCCAACCCTGGGAAAACCATTCTCCTCTGACCCGCCCCTGAGTGCACGGCAAGCAGTTCTAGAGCTGCTTACCCAAAGCACTGCAGAGAGCAAGCCTCAGAAAGACCAGA